TGCCCTCCTGAGAGGACCACGGATCAGCCTGACTCTGGAGGCACAGCTCCCTCAGAAGCCCATCACTTTGTATGTCGTGTTTTGTGGGAGACGAGGAGGGCTCATAGCCAAAGGACCCTGCTGGGCTCTGAGCCACGCAGCACCTGGATCCCCAGTGACTCTTGGAAAAAAGAGCTTGCCTCCTTGCGAGGAGGAAGTTTCCTTGAGGTTCTCCTTCCACCAAGATTAGAAAGTCTTAAAGATACTTTTATACCTCTCTTAAAGAGGTAGTATCTCGCCTCTAATGAAATTGTTTGGCTGTTTCACCTACTTTTGTCAGCAGTAGTATCCCAGAGGGAGCTGGGCAATACATCTCTTTGCACAGAATCAAGGTGCTGAACCAGCTGCTTTCTGCAGAAAACTGCAGGAGGCTCAAACTCCTTCAGAGCAGGTAGCTGAGTGAGGGCACAGGAGTCCCTGCCTCTCAGACAGCGAGGCTGCTGCTGCGAGGGAAGCAGTGACTCCCGACTGCCAATCCTCACTGATTTTGAGCCCATCAGGAGCCCAGAGCCTGTGTCTGGCAGCATCTCGTTGCAGAGAGGGACAGGGGCTTGCTTCCTTCGGTTGAAGTCCAAGCCCTTTGCTCAGTTTGATGCTGTGGTGATTGTCACTTATAGCCAGTGACCCTGGCTGGCAACTAAGCCCCTATCCAGTCTCCTGCTCGCTTCCCACCAGTGGGACGGAGGAGAGAAGCAGAAGGGCAAGAGTGAGAAGAAGACTTACGGGTTGAGGTAAAGACAGTTTAATAAGCGAAGAGAAAAAGTGAAACAAAACAAACCACAAAAACCAAGTGATGCAAAGGCAATCACTCACCCAGTACAGCAATTGAGCATCAGACACAGTGGCTGCAGGAACCGGTATGATGGTGCTGCATCTCACCTCCTAATCATTGGCAGAGAGAATTCCCTTCTCCAGAAGCCCCCTGCCGCCACCGTGTTTCCTTATGCAGGGACTGTGCTCAGGCTGGCACGGGCCGTGTGAATTTTACTGTAGAGGTTGATCCTGTTAAGCAGTTGCAGCCACGGCTCCCTCAGTTATTTGGTGAACAAGGAGACACAGTGGTTAGAAGATCACAGCTATCAGCCCTGTTTTACGATTTTTATGAGCGTTAATGGAACAAGGTTTGGGGACTGAAGGAGAAAATGGAATATGAAGAGGAAAATGAAAAGAGGCTGGGAGGAAAGCATGTCATTTCTAAATGAATGCTCTGTGCAGAGGAATTGAATCTTTTCACAGCTGAAAATGGATCCTAAATCTGATGCCTTAGCTTGTTTCAGCTTCTGTAATGAAATAGAGTTTTCCTAATACCCTGTGACCTGAATTTCTCCCTGCTTTATGGGTGCTGTTCCTTGACTTACAAACCTGTATTTTCTCAAGTCAGCATTTGATGATGGATGTCAAAATACAGGTCATGTATTATGCATATAGCATTACCGATTTAAGGTGTTTACTTGTCAAGTTGAAGAAATTCAGAAATGTCACATTCACTGAATCTGCACAGCTGTTACTTGTAGTTTTTCATGCCTTTAAATGAAAGTTCTGATAAAGCAGGTTAGTTTTCCTGCACTTTTTTTTCTCTCTCTCTTCTGGAGGAAAAAAATAGAGAGCCTATCTATAGAATTTACGTTGTGACTTGAGGGGCGGAATGTGGCCTGAAGGTGTATGATGCCTTGTGACTCCAAACGTAGGCACACAAACTCCCCAAGTACTCCAATTTTCCTTTTCCTGAAAATATTACGGGATTTTTTTTATTTTTAAAAAGTAGACTCATAGAATTGCCTGAATTAAGTACAGGCAAGGAAATTAAATTAAAATAACAGATATTTCTTACATCTTCCAAGACTGTAGGATGAAAAATATTATGGCATGAGTCCGTTTTTCATTCAAGGACAAAACAAAATCCCTTTAGCATGCTTCCTGCATTTCAGACTGAATGCACTGTGTGTGCAGTGTGCAATTACAGGGCTCCTGACAGTCTGTGTCTAGCAGAAATGCCACATTTTCTTCAATCTTCTAACGCCATCCTAGGAAGACAAATATTTGAAGGGTTAGAGAGGTGGCTACAAATAGCCTGCGATGGAGAGTGCGCGTGTGCGTGCCTCCATGTGTGCGCACGTTGCAGCAGAGCCAGGGCAAGAAGGGCTTACACATTTAGACGTAGTTATGCCAACTTTCTTTAGTTTGCTTTTAGCTGGTAGGGAAACACCAGTGTGCTCTTCCTATCTGAAGATCCTGATTCACTGAAAGAAGTTTTAGGGAGTGCATCCTGAGATGGGGAGAGAAGTGCCTTCAGGAAAAAGAGGGAAGCAGGGCCCCTGGGGATGCTCCCAGAAGTACAACCCTTAGGGTGCGTGGGAATAAGATGTGTTTTCTCTAGTCTCAGATAAGTGAGTGTAAAAAGTCTTGCTGTTACTGTTTTGACTTGTAATTCTGCAACCAGGCCTGCTGCTTGAAGTGCTCAAGGAGTCTATAGCTACTTGAGCTTTTTTTAATATAGCGTGGCTAGAGCCATGTCTTGCCTTTCCTATAGCGTAACAGAATGCAAAATTTAAACACCGGAGCCTGCTGCAGAAGGAGGCATCACACCAATACCCACCTGTCCTCAGACAGCATTCGCTCCCTTTGGAGTCCTGCTTTAATTTTCCTGCGGTTGTGAGAGTGGCAGGGTTACCTCTAACTCATGAGGAAGGTAGGAAGGAGCTGAAGAAACCCAGTTAGACACTGTGAGCCTGAGAAAGCCAAGGCTCTGCCGTGCAGAAGTAAGCATTCAAAGAGCCAATGCGGCTCTCGGTCGCAGTGCCAGGCACAAGGAAAGCTCTGCAAACCGATACCAGGTGGGAATGCCGCTCACTGTCACCATGACAGTCTTACTGAAGTAGTGAGTAGTATTAAATGACCGATGGTTAACATTGCCAGCATTTCCCATTGTCTCTAAGAAATCTGCTTTCTAAAGATTTTCTATGTGCCGGTAATATTACATAGAATTGCTTTACTGTCTTAGGTTTGCCTGTGGCAATGTTTTTGTCTTGCAAGCCTGTTGAAGATACCACATCCACTTCTTTCCTCCTAAGGAATTTCTTCACAGACTTCACTCCCTTTTTACTTATCCTGTCCTTACAATCCTCATGTTGTATCTGGCTTTCATGTGATAGTCAGAAGGGAATTCATACTGGCACCTTCTGGAGAGCTAAGTCTCTCTTCTCACTGGTTCTAGTTTTATTACCTATATATTCTGTATGTGATACAGACAAAACATAGGGATAAAAGAACTGAATATCAAATAAAAATTTAAATACCATTAAATCAAGAAGTCCAGGTCTACTGGTCCTTATAGTTTGTCATGTTTAGGGACAGTATAAGAGTGGTGGAAGTTATCACTGGAAAAGAACTGTGAATCCCTCAGAAAGACAATACAAAACCAATACTACGTGTTGACAGCTACAGTTTAGTTTAGAGATTTCCTGGTCTGTAAATTAGTCTCCAAACTGAAGAAAGGGAAAGTAGATAATATCATATCATCGTCTTCTGAATTCAGTAGCAGATGAATTTAACTCAGCGAAACCGTTTCCACACCGCAAGAAGATAATGAAGTTACATCAGGAATGAATCTGGCTGTTATTAATTTAGAATCGTTATATGGAAAATTCAAAACTAGTTCAGACCAGTAATGACAGAGGATCAAAACTCTGGTCCTGGATGTCAGGTGTGGAGTCAAACAACTCAGGCATAATGTGGCAAAAAAATGGATGTTTTCTCAGAAATGTGTGTTTTAAAGTAAGCTTGGCTCAATTCTATTACCAGCAGATAAATATTTGCTTAAAAATGCTGCCTTGACATTGGTCTAAATGAAACCCTAAAGTCAAACTCTGGCTTCACCATCACTTCTGCAATAATGACATTAAATGGACATTCGCCTGCTTTCTGCAGCTTTAATGGACAAGGGAGATGGAGGGCATTGGTCTCAGCTGTGAATTTCCAGCCCAACTGTTGCACGAGTTTTTTTGTAACTGCCTATTTTTCAGTACTTACAATCAAACTCCAAGAGGCTTTCCCTGGGTATTTTTTATTAAAAAAAAAAAAAAAAAAGATTAAAAAGTGCTCAGTGTCAAGAGTTCCATTTCAAAGTATGTAGAAAATCAGGCTGAAAACACAATCTTTCTTGGAAGTGAACTTTGCTGGTCTCCAGGTCTGTTTTTTTCTTAGAGTACCTGCTGATATGTATACCCTAAAGGTATACAAGTCTTTCTAGTTTCTTTTCAGCCATCCCTCTTACATACCATTTGAAAACCTGTGCCTTTTTCCTTCCATTCTTTCTTTTTTTTCTTAAAATGGACCCTTCTGTTACAGTCTTCCTATAATTGTAATCCTCATAAATACATATTATGAATGGCACACCTGAAAAGAAAAAAAAACAACTTTGTGTGGGTTGTACTGTTCCTGGAACACAGTTCAGGATTTTTAAATCCTGTATGTTGATGAAACCTAAAACCTGCTCCTTGTGGTTGTACTACTGTTTGTAAACAATATTCTTTAAAGTGTTAATTGAGGTTTATGGAAATGTATTTGTTTCAGGATGATTTTAAATACTAATAGGACAAAATTAAATCTCTCTAACACTGAAATCTTTATTATTTTAATTTATATGTAAGTAAGCATTACTCTTTCCATTTTGCATGTTTTGATGCAAAGGCTACCTAAGATAACAAAATAGATTTCAGGTTCTTCATTAGCTACCAAATATCTTACAGTAGAAATGACCTGCATATTTGTGAAGGATTACGCTTTTAAGAAATAATTACTGAAAATTAAGTCATTTTTTTAATGACACTTTTTTTACCATACTTTTCTGGAATAATAAATTAAAGATAGGGAATTCCTTTATGTTGGTGGGATTTTTTGTATATAATTTGTCCCATGTAAAATTTATCTTTTTTTCTTTTCTTTTTTTTTTTTTTTTTTAGGTTTTACACCCCCTGGGATGGATAGGTCATCTCCAGACAACAGTCCAGTGCATGGCCTCTTACGCCAACCCTCCATTACAACAGGAGCCAACATCCCTATTATAACAGAGCTAGGTAAGACAAGCTAACATTGACACATTCCCACATCTTTTCCCCAGTTCTCTTCTTATGCAGTTTCAGGAAAATTACCTATGCTGTATGTTAGACTGCTATGTTTTCTCTCCTGATAACTGTTTTGAATTACTCGCTCTAAAGAAAGATTAGTACAGTTGTTTCACTTGATTTGAATAACTGAAATACATTTCTCTCTTTCCTTCGGGTTTTCTCCATTTTCTTAAATAAGCACTCTATCAGACAAAATGCTTTTTACATAGTGTAACAAATAAGCAGGGTTCTCTGGGCTAAGGTTAGAAAAGAAAAAACCACTGTAAGTATAAGCAGACATTTCCTCTGCATTTAATCAATAGTAAGAGGCCATGTGTTTATTTCTTCATGGTCCAGAACTGTTTAATCATGTGTAACCAAACTCTGTATAATGGTATGAGACATTTTACTCCCGAGAATACAATGATGGTCGGTAACCAGGCTCTGATTTCCACTCTAGCTGTGGGTATTTATGTTGTCAAGTGGTGTGATGTGAAGTGCAGAAGCTGTTCTGTTTTTTTCATGGCAAATACAAACTTGATTTGTGGTCCTTTGTCTTTTTATTTTCTTTTTCAGTTTTATTTTTTTAGAGCCTTACCTGTCTTTTTCCCTTACTTTATTCTCTTTCTGTACTTTCTTTTCCTCCTAAATACTTTACTTATTAGCTAAGCCTGGCAAACTTCTGCCTTTGGTTTCAATCAGTCAGGAAAAAAACAGTGGGACCCACATTCTAATGATAACTGAACTGGGTAAGAAGCGCCTTTTTCCTTCACATCACCGTCTTATTTTCTATCGTCGTTGTTCTGTCATCAACTTTTCCTTTATTTATCTGGCTGTATCAGAGGGGCTACCCTCATGGCACTGCTTTGAATGTGTTTTATTTGTGGTTCTGGTTGAAATTCACTGTCTCGTTCTGGGGTTTTTTTATGATTTTTTTTTTTTTTTTTTTTTTAACAAATTTCGTTAGACAGCAGAAGTAACCCTTTGATCACCCTCGTCTGACCCGCCGGCTGTTTTCATAGCACCTCCTCACCAATTCATTTTCTTTGGCCTGGGTCCCCACCTCCTGCGCCCTACCCGCCACACACACCAATTTTCCTCTCCTTTTTGCTCTCTCTCTTTCTCTTTTCGTTGTTTCAGCCTGTTGTCAGGTTGGTGGACGTGCCTTAGCACTTCTCCCAGGAAGCCCAAGAAGAAGTAAAAGATATCAGGAAAGAAACCGCAGCATCGTGCTTTCCCTTAAGCTATTTGTTTGTTGATTCGGGGGAGGAGGCTGTTTCTCAAAAGCTCAGGTTTTGAAGCTGTTAAAAAGCAGCCAAGCTGCTGCGTTGCTCCCTCTCAATCAAGAGAGCTCTGGCCAGCTTTTGCGAGCAGCATTTGATGAGCATTTCCTATGGCACAGCGCTACACCTTCGAGCCTACCTCACCTAGCCCGGAGACCTTTCATAGAGGTCCTAGCGTGCTAGCTCACAGCAGGAAGATAAAGATATTGAGGATAAAACCGCACTTGCAGGAGTCACATTAGATTTGTGGTACCTTGGAAACTGACACCGCGCATGGCTGGCAAGCTGGTGTCAGAGTCAGGTATTAGTCTGCCAGACGTAAGTGGAAAAAGGATGCTACTGTCAATAGTGCCTGCTCTCAACTAGCAAATTAAACCACGGCACAAGCTTTTCAAAAAGTACATTTTGAAATGATACGTCAGGCTTTCAAATACTATTTTGCTCAAGAATCTGGAGAATAAATTGATAGGCGTTGTACAAAGAAAGGAGCGTTGTGGATATGGTGTTTGCAAGGATGAGTTTCTCCTGACTCCCAGGGCAGAACACTTCCCTGTTTACAACGCTGAGGTGTTACGTTTTCGTGGTTACATCATGGAGTGAGAAGGCAGGAATTTAAAATCCTACTTCAGCTCAGGTCCTGACTGAATGATCATGGCCAAGTGCTGGTGCAACAGGGCTCAAAATGGAGGACAACAATTCCAATTTCTTTTAGACAGCTGTTGTGAGGCTTATTTGTAGTTCTTCATGTTTTGTAAGCTAAGCATGGCAAGCACAGTAGTATCTACAGGTTGGAAAAGGAGTGAATGGAAAAGGAAACTATATAGGAAGGAAGATCAGCATAGCAGGCAGAAGAATTTCTAACCTAAGAAGTCCGGAGCTGAAACCTGATCAAGTTAACAGCAGCTCTTGTGTTTGCAAAGCTCGCTGGGTTGCCTCAGGAGATGTGTCCACGTGGGGAACGGGGACATAATCAATGTGTGCCGTTTCAAATGCTGAAAAAGTTTTTGATTTCCCTTCCTTGCATGGGAACTGAAATTAATTTGTCATTTAGTGAGTTAAAGGATATTTCACTGGCATAGCTAAGCAGTCTGTGTTTTCATGCCTGAGGACTGATATGGAAATGAAATATTTCATGAAATATGATCCACTTGATACACTGATCTCAAGGAAACAAGTATTTTTAGTGGAATGAGGTGGAGGCAGAGAGCTGAAGTGTGTCAATGAAACGCCAGAGAAAGTCTAGATGACAAATATTGCTTTATTTGGGCTTTTTCTTTAGAACAGTCTGATGTAGATTCTTTTTCACACTGTGTAATACAGAATTTGTGGTTAAGGAAGTCAAGTTATGGAGACAAATATTGGAACAGAAGGCAGTGCTGCATGACAATAGCTGGAGTGTTGCTCATTCGTTCAGATAGCTGCATGTTAAAGGGACATCTTATCCTCTTTTGAGCTGTAAGTGCATTAACACCACTCCAGTAAGAATCACAGCAGCACATCTAACAGATGCCTGTGGGCTATATCCGAGTTTTATGGACAGCCTTTATTTTACAACGGGGTTCTGACTTGGTGTCTTGTGATAACATTTCACTGTACCTGTACACAGTCTTAGCCACTGTGCCTGACCAATACCCAGATTGTCTTGAGGTATAAAAAAGCATCGCGTGTCTCATTTTGAGCGCAGGCAGCTGGTGCCACGAAGCTACTTTTGCAGTAAAGCGATAGTCACCTCTCACGAGCACGAGAGTCACTTCTTACGAGCAACATAATGGTCAAAATATTTTTAAATGCGCATTTTCACATCCATCTTGATTTCATTTTCAGTGACGTTAAAGACACAAGTCTGTGTTTCCAGACATATGCCGTTTCTTTTTCTTTCTGACTGTGTCATGTGTAAGGTCACATGCTGGTGACCCAGAAGCACCTTATGATTTTGTTATTGTTGTTATTATTTGCAGTAAATGATTCAAATGTTCAGTTCTTGGACCAAGATGATGATGATGATCCAGACACAGAACTGTATCTGACGCAGCCCTTTGCATGTGGAACTGCATTTGCTGTCAGTGTGCTGGACTCCCTCATGAGCGCAGTAAGCAAATGAAACCTTTTTTTCATTTCCTTCCATCAGACTTATTGTGAAAGAGTATGAAAGTGTAGTCCCTTTTCCACAGGTAGTCAGGAGCTGACACTTTTGGATGTCAAGAGAATTTCTGAGCTTAAAGTAGGTTACTTTTTAGTTGGACATAGAGACGTTAAAACAACTGAGATGTCTAGGACTATCTCGAGTCCACAATTTTAAAAGCAGTCTCATGTCAGGTTTTAACAATAATATTTTCCAAAAAATGTTGTACTCCCCTCCCGAAACCCAGACCCAAATTCAGTGTGTCAGTCCCTATGCTCACAGTTCATGTCAGACAGCATCAGTCGTGCTTTCACAGAATCATGGAATCACAGAATGGTCGGGGTTGGAAGGGACCTCTGTGGGTCACCCAGTCCAACCCCCCGCAGAAGCAGGGTCACCTAGAGCAGGCTGCAGAGGACCTTGTCCAGGTGGGTCTTGAATATCTCCAGAGAAGGAGACTCCACAACCTCCCTGGGCAGTCTGTGCTAGTGCTCTGTCACCCTCAGAGTGAAGTGGGGAGCCCAGAACTGGACTTTTTTGAGCTTTTAATTTCCTGTAGCCATGAGCAACGCTCTGCGTATGAGCGCCGGGGGACACTGATAGAAGTATATGAAAGCCATTGTACGCATTGTGTGAACTCTGCTTGTGTGAAGAAAGGTCATCATCTCTTTTTCACATGAGTTGTCTTGTGAATCAAAACATAAGTTCATGCCAGAAACTACAGGTAGTGGCCTTTGATTATGTCTACATTAGGGTTTTTGGTTTGCTGTCGTAGTAGAGTTTTGAAGCGAATACCCCAGTCATGCTTCTTTCATTGTCCCTTGCCTCATATTGGCTAGGTTTTCAGACCAGTCTTGTTCTGTGTGAGCTGCGCTTCCTGCAGAAGGACCTTAAGCTCAGCTAGATGTAGAAAGGACATAGTCTTTTTAAAATCTGAGCATAGGCCCCAATGGAATAAAGTTCCATAGTGCTGGGGATCTTCTGTTGTAAACTCCATGTAATATTAGAAAAGAGCAAACAGATTTCCTAAAGGAGCCAAGTCTGGCCTCCACCTAAATTCACAATGAAGCTTTTTGCTTTTAAGAAAAATGCACCATGATTTTTTTATTTCAAATTTTATTCATATTTCATATTTATGTATCTGTAATTCAGATTTTTATTCTCCGCTATATTCCTCATATGTTCGATCCACAGGTGAATAACATCAGTCTACACTGAAAAAGTTTTATTTTAATGCAGTCTAGGAGTTTGCAATAAACTCAGGAAATACTTTTTTTTTTAAGTTAGCCGTATTTTGCAGACGTGACAATTTCAGGAAGCCTAAGCAAGCAAAATTAATCTCTGTACCTTCTCTAATTAAAATCTCTAGGTATAAACTTGTGAGCATTTTCACATTATAAATGGAAATAATTTAGCATGGAGATTCCAAATTGTTATACTGAGAGCTGTTTATCTACTCACATTATTATTTAAATCAATGTCCCTGAATGAGTCATTCAGTAGGGCGCTTCCAGAATCTTGGAAAAAGTAGGATTAATTCTTCTGATTGTCACTGGCATTGCCACAAAAAGAGCGAAACATTGTGGACACCATTGCTTTCTTGTGCAGAGGTGTATCACGTAAACAACAGTGAGGCAATAAGAAATATGTGGAACGTGACTGTTCAGAAATTTTTCCTTGAAATTCATCATATAATCCTCACAATATTTTTAGTTATTGCTAGCTTTTATTAACTTTTGGTTTTTGGAAACATGCCTCTCCACTTCTGCAAGTCCTTTCTTCAACAGAGTCTTTTTTTCGGACGTTTTCACATCGAAGTAGTCATATAATGTATCAGGGACAGTGCAGCCCGAAGCCAGAGAAGTAAATGTGATAACAAGAGTAGAAAATTCTAACTCAGAAAAATTACTAATCGAGAAGACAAGCCAAGGATTCGGTCAGTTAGAATTGTTCACCATCCTGTCTTTTCTTTCACCTCTTTGCTGCTCAGTGGCAGCGTTATTTTCTCTTTTATTCCGCAAAGGCCTAGTAAAGATTTGGAAAAGTACAGTTCTTCCTGACCCTTCAGAAAGTGTAAGATGTGTGAGATATTTCCCTTACTGTCCTTATGCTCATGGGAAGGTTGTAAGCTCCTTGCACTTCTCCAAGGAAAAAGCGTTTCTCACACAAACTAATATACTTGCACTATATTATCACTTTTTTTTTCCTAGAGTACACTAGTTTTTAAGGACCAGCTTCTATTTATTCCGCCTAACTTCAAGCCAGTACCGGCAAACTGACCTCAAAATCCTAACTAAATTGTGAGATCTGCAGACATGCTTTCATCCTATTAATTGCACAGAAATTCTGTAAGAAGGAAATAATTCACGTTGTGCGGGGCTGTGCCAGCTCACTTTGAGACAAGGATATAATTCATTATTTGATCCACTTAGTGATTCAGGGGTTTTTATTGCTTAATTTTAAGAAAGATTGGAAAGTAAAATAATACCCATGCATACAGTATTCTTTCTGACCTGCAGGTGTTGGAACATACATATAGGTATATGTATATAGGAGAAGAGGTATAAAATATATTTAAAATAATTTGTTATTGAGTAATAAATAATTCAACAGTATTAATCAGTGTTAAATAATGATTTTCTTTTATATATTTTATTAGTCATTAATCACAGATCAGAAAATGTGTTGTCACTTTCTGATTCAAATCTGAACGCTGCAGATTGTAACGTTCTGCTAGTTTAGTGTTATATCCTATTAGATGACACTATTAGATATTTTAAATTTGAAATTGTCAGTTATTTCTTATTTCAAAGATAAAAGGCTTGATGAAGTTTACTTTTCAAAATGCTGTCTGCAGGCTATCTACACAGAGTTTGTCCTCTGCAGCAAAGGCAACGTATTCCACAAGCCTATGATTCACAGTGTGGTAGTTCGAAGATCATTGCTCAGAAGCAAATAACGAGCTCAAAAACTGCATTGTCTTTTTGAGAAGCTGGTAGCAGTGATCTCTCCAGGCTTTGGTTAAAGCACATTGTTGTACTCTGCGTGAAGACTGCAGGCATAGTTCATGTTTTAAGCGTGGCAGTGGCTATTGTTAAATTGCACCAGCTAATCATTATTGTGTCTTTGAAAAGACATCTACTGCCATCAGAGACTTGAATGATATATTAATATTTGTTTTGTCATAACATATGCAAAGCCAGGGAAAGAATATATGTAGTCTGTCAGTCTCAAGGTGGCACTGCTCCTGAAAAGTGAAGCACATTCTCATCACCAAATTGAATGTGACTAAAAAACATGGGATTGGAAGCGTCTTTTAGGTAATGTGGATGTTTTGTATGAAGATTATCTTTAGCTATTAAAATGTTAAGTGAAATAGGATAACTCAAGAGAAGCAAATTTTTGAGGAGAATTTCTTTTTTATTTTCCGGGTCTTGCTGAGATAGATATTCCAGAAAATCCTGTGCATGCAAGGAAGGTGGGTTTATCAACAAAGTACCTTCAAAGGTTTGAACAGTTGGCCTGAGAGCCAAAGCTTCTCTGTTATTCCTTTTGGCGCTGAAGCTCTGAAAACCACAGAAGTTCTGGCAGGTTGGCGTCCCTCCCATACGTACTGCTGACGATAGACTTGTTATACTGTCAGAGTGGTGCCATTAGAGGCAAGGATCTCCAGAACCAGATTGTACCGCTTAACATTTGATATCCTGGAATTTATTTCCTTGTGCTAGAACTTCAGGTCTTGATTTTAGCTCTATAATAATAAATTCTACTTTTGCTTCTTATAAATAAAAACACAGAATGACAGATAATAGTTAAAAGAGTTAAAAATAAGTTTTCAGTATATCCCTCAAGCAAGAGTTCTCCCTCAGGATTCCTCAGCAGTCTTATTTGCATAGAAAAGAAACTGTTCTAATCTATGATACAGACATTTTGAAACAGAAGACTTTTTTTTGTGCAATTCTGTGCAGGGGATTAGCAAGCAACATCTCATAACCTAAAGTGTCCCAAACTTCTTTAAAGTTCAGACAGTATTTTGAAAAAAAATCTATTGGTTTTCAAACTGTGCAACACTTATTTATTTTCTGCTGTTGATTCTGTCTTGAAGGCCCTTTTGTTATTGGTATAAGTTACTGATGTTAGCTCAGTCATTCCTCAGTTTTGGGTATATATTATTCATTCAACGGAATTCCTCCAGCTGAAAAAGAAAAGCGAGTTAAAATATTTGTTTGAAAGTGATGTTAAAAACTGCATGCAGTGGAGGAAGAGTCTTCTTAAAAGAAATCCATAAAAAACCACTAGCAAACACAAAAAAATGGCAGATATGACTTGGAAAATGACAATTTTAGACTAATTATAAATGAAAGGCAAAGTGCTATTAAAGTTAAAGCAATGTTATTAAAAGATGTGCTAATTTTCAGTTAAATTTTCTGTAAAAGACCAATTAGTTTAAAAGGCTTGACAGCATTAACTGCAAAACATAAGCACTCTGGTAATTATACTTTAAAAAATGATTGAACAAACGGGAGATCATCCCCGAAACGTTTGAAAGAGCTGCACTAGAATCCCGGAGCACAGGCTAGGTGGCACTGCTAGCTCAGATATCTATGTCCGAATTTCCTTGCTATTTGCCCAGTTTCAGTGTCTATGATGCGTTTCCTTTTTTTTCTGTGTTTAGACTACACCTATTTCATATTCTCATTCCAGATCCTGATTATAGTGATGCTGTACAGATGTCCAGCGTGGGGTTCAGTTAATGGCAGTAGCAAACAAGTATTTCTTCAGTTATGATTTTACAGTCAACAAAAAGGATTCGCTACCATCACTGGAAAGTCTCTTGTTACTTTAAGTACAGCAGCACCTTTCCAAAGACATTCTGTAGATTGGTTTCTTATAAGTACTGGCATATCCAGGCCACGTACCCTCCCACAGAGCAAGTACAAGATCACTTTCAAATTAATTTCAGTGTATTAGTATTCCAAAGGAAATGTATATCAGCTAGTTCAGCTTTGCAGTGTCCCCCAGTTCGACACTGGCAAGGGGTAATGAGAGGAGTCTGATTTTTGTGACAGCTGAAAGCATGGACAGAAGGGTTTTTCCTGAGGAGTGTTAAATATATTAGTACAGGAGGAAGCAACCCTATTTAGCAGAAGGTGACAAGTTACAGCTTCCATTTCACCCGTCCTTTCCTGCTTATGGTTGGGCATTTTCTGGTCAGTTGCCATGCAGTTGGAGCAGTTTGTCCTGAAAGTTGGAACCTTTTCACTGACGGATGTGAAAAAAAACAAACCCCATGGTTTGGCTGCACTCGTCCCTCTACTTAAATGGCGACATCCACATCAGTCCTGGTGTAAAACCCAGATCAAGCCGTTGTTCCAAAATAAATGTTGCCTCCTTGGCTAATAAGTGCCTTAGCTTTGCCTTAGCATTTGTCTAGCAGTAGGAGGCCTTTCTCCGGTGACAGCATTCTGTTCTGTTGACAATAGACCTGATTCTTTTCTCGTTTGCATTAGTTTTATACAAGTGTATGGCTCCCAGAGTTACTCCTGGTTGGCACAGAAGTCAGAATCGGGCCCATTAGGTCTTAATTGCACCCAGGTTTGGGGGGGTGTATTTTATTTGTGTTAATGAATTTGTGACAGGTGCATGACTTCATACATTATTTTACCACTGCTTGCATTTCTCAGTTTAATACGAGATCTGTAGTATAATGAGCGATATGGCCACAGTATCATTTCGTAGTAGATCATACTCTAGTGAGCTACAACTGAATTTACAATAAGGGGTAACTGTGCACTTACACAGTACAAAATTCAGATAAGCTAAGAGTATATGTGTTTAAATCTTGGATTCTGGCTATAGTTTCTATAATTTGAATTACAGAATAAAGAGAGAGAGAGAGAGAGTTGGAAACCGGTGAAGGCTGGCCTAATGATACCTGCTAAACAGTATTAAAATTATTAGTCCAATTTTAGACTTTTGCATGTTTTACCAATCACTGCAAGTCAGCAGTCTATAAAAACAGGCTATTTTACATGAACCGGCATTCATTAGTCTTAGAGCAGGTGAATATTTCTTGCCATAGCTGGCCTCATTGTAAACCAGAATTGAAAAATCTACCAGTAAAGATATGCTTTTGTTTCATCATCTTCTATCTCGATTTGTAGATGTAAAACTGAAAATAGCATATTTGAGTAATACTAAATATCATAACGTAGAGAAGAAAAAGGAATCGAAGATACTGAATAAGTATTGGAGAAGGCATGGGAAAAGAGACTGTTGCAGAAAATGGCACGCTTTTGTGAAGATGTGTGCTTAAAGTGCCGTATAGAAGATGCTGAAGGATGTTTGTACTGAAAGGGCTTTACCAGCCTCTATGACTGCAGTGCCTCCAACCTCTAGATCTGGCAGAATTTGGCTTTATATCCATGAAACTGGTGTAGAGTGACATTGTCACCTAACTGCAGGAGCTAAGGAATTGTGCTAATTATTTTAGTTCTGAGTGCTTTATAGAATACACTGACAAAGGCTAAGAAAAGAGACTACACTTAATGCTGATTTTTATTTATTCCGAGTGTGTCCATGTTGGAAAGGTATAGCACAGTGGGAAGAGTTGCCAAAGAGGGCAATTTCAATTCTCAACTCAGAGACATCAAGGGAGAAATAACTGAAGAATAAACAATCATGCCTGAATGTCTTCTCTCTCTCACCACGGCAATTCCTATTAAACATCGTGTAATCACTCCAGACTTACATTCCTGCAAGGGGTCACGTTGATTTTTCAATATGTTCAGAAAGGTTTTAGTATTACACTGGGATTGTTACCCAGTGCATCCACATATCTAAGAGCTGGGTTGAGATTAGTTGTTGGTTTAGACTAACTGAATCATAGAATCATAGAATGGTAAGGGTTGGAAGGGGCCTTAAAGATCATCTGGTTCCAACCCCCCTGCCATGAGCAGGGACATCTTCCACCAAACCAGGGTGCTCAGAGCCCCATCCAACCTGGCCTTGAACTAAAAACCCCCCCTCCACCCTTCCTGTAGCCCCCTTCCAGTACTGGCAGGCTACTCTCAGGTCACCCTGGAGCCTTCTCTTCTCCAGGCTGAACAGCCCCAACTCCCTCAGCCTGTCCTCATAGGAGAGGTGCTCCAGCCCTCTGATCATCTGTGTGGCCCTCCTCTGGACCCGCTCCAACACATCCATGTCCTTCCTATGTTGGGGGCTCCAGAGCTGGACGCAGGACTCCAGGTGGGGTCTCACAAGAGCGGAGTAAAGGGGCAGAATCACCTCCCTCTTCCTGATCTCCTGCTAGTGCCAAGACATCTCTTTACAGTACACTTTGTATTTAAAGTACGTAGTGCCTTACCCAGGCTAATTTAAAATAATTGGAGTTGAAGAGATGCAGATATTTGCTTTAGGGTATGTACAACAATAACAAAATGTTCCTCTCATTTTAATTTAGTCAACAGGTGAATGGCATCCATGCCTATGTAAGTAAGCAGAGAAGCCTGAAGTTACGAAACTTCAATGTAACAGTGAAAAACATTGCTACGTAGAATTAATTTTCTCCTGTTTTATCTGTCATCTCAAGTGAACAATAAAACTGAAGTTTCATTATACAAGGAAGGAATATCAAAGCAACATGGATAGGAAGCCAGTTCTGCTTTTTGATCTCAGGATAAAATATTTCAACCTGTACCTCAGTTTACCCATGTATTAAATACAATTACATTCTATGGATAGAGCAATGAATTTCATTGAAAAGCATTATTTAAAAAGCGTTATCTTTAGACAACAAGCACTGCTTGAGAATTCAGTATTCATTTTTACTTGGTTGGATTACAGACATTTGTTCCCAGTCCTAAATTCAGCAAAAGTCACAACTCTAGTAATGGAATCCACAGTTCCAGTAATGCCGATCCTGTGTACTCTACAGAGAGCTCATTTTCTTCTCGTACGTCCCCCATGCTTACAAAGCTTCCAAAAACACAGACTTTAGTGACATTGTAAGTGATGGTGTCTCCTTTTTTTGCTCAGCATTGTTTTTAGCCCAGTACATTACACTGCAGATATTTCACTGAGTATCTCCAAACTATACCAGTATACTTTTAAGTGAACTTGAAAGTCATTCATCTGGCATTAAATTAATATTTAAAATACTCATTGTTTGCCTGACAGACCAGCAATGCTACAGATGCTGGCAAAATGTCAGTGTGGAGTAAATCTTCCCTAATAAACCACACTTACCCTATACCCTAGAGTTTTTTAAAAGGACCACCAGGATCCCAAACTCATCATACATTTATCTGGAATGAACTCAAGATGTTTAATTGATACATGCTTATGTCTGAACACTGTCAAGTCTCGTAATAAGATGTTTAGTACAATACATCGGTTAGACTGCTAGAGTCCAGCCACAGTAATAAGTAATGACATTTGCAGCACAAAGGCAGTTCCCCAACGAATTGGTGACAAGAGTAAAAAGGCAATCTAGCCTGCGTAAGCTTTAAATGCGGTCTGAATTTTACAATTACATGTCCTAAAGCCCATTATTAGACATGAAGGCAATGAGAAGGAAAGCAGTCATTGCATCACTACTAACACCAATTATAGGAAACATAAATCATTCAAATTTTTGTACTTTAATAAAAATCAGCCTGAATTGGTGTTTAAAAGGAAGGATCTAGTATAGGAGCCTAATGGGATAGAAGAAAATAGAGTAATTGGAGGCTGCTGTCTTTTCACTTTCTATATAAAATTATTTGAAGAGACAGTCAAGAACTTTAAACAGCAGAAACCCAGAAAAGTTGTAATTTGGATGTCTTCAGTTGTGACTTTAATGGTGTTTGCTTAAAGAGCTTTCTTTTATCTCTGCAGACATACTTCAATGACAATATCCTCACACTGATACGGACATTGGTAACAGGAGGAGCCACACCAGAGCTGGAAGCGCTGATCGCCGAGGAAAACGCTTTGCGAGGAGGCTACAGCACGCCCCAGACGCTTGCAAACAGGGACAGGTGTCGAGTTGCTCAGCTGGCGTTGTATGATGGGCCCTTCGCAGACCTAGGGGTAAGAGCACAACGGCAGCGTACCACCAAGGCTGGTCTGCAATCGGTTTGCTTTCCTCTCGGATGGAATTAGAGTTCTATCTTAATTAGCGTATAATTTCTATTATTTCATTTAACAGAGCTTTAGGATCGGTTGACAATTTACGGCACAGGGTACCAGGTTTGCTCGTACCCTTTTTAAGGAGCTATATGTCTTCCCAGGCTCCTTGCCTGGGTTTTTCATACAGAAAACCCCGTGGCTCTTCTTAGTTGTCAGCTAGAGATGGATGAGCTGACTTGGGTGATATAACCATTCTAACAATATTCTGTTGTAAACATGAGCAAGATCTATTCCTTTGATGGGTTTTGATAAGCTTATTTGGTCTTTCTATGGAGCTTCCAGCTCTGGGTTAAAATAGGCTTATCAACTTGAAAACAGAACTATAAGATTTGTTTTCTGCTGTTTCTGTATGAACTAAAATTCTTGTGAAATCCCAATTTTCTGATATTTTGACTCCACTATCCTAAGAGTCAAGTAAAAAAAAAAACAAACCAAAACTAAACTAAGTAGACCATCTAGAAGTATCTAGAAATGTTTTCTGGATCAAATCTTGTAATCTTGAGGCAAATCCCAAAGCATCCACTTTGCTTTGATGATGATGTAGGGTTTGATAGTTCTGAAAATAACCTTGTGTTCACCAGCTCTGTTCAAAAAGAATGGAGCGACCTTCTTCGCAGAAATGAGAGGGAATCCCAGTTTAAGGATTAAGGGTGGTGAGAGTACACAGAAGTAAACAGCCTTTCAGTTCATGTAGAAGTCTGTTTGGAGCCGAGACGAGCAGCTCATCAAAACACTTGAGTATGCGGCATTTCACTGATAAAAACAAGCAATACTAATCCCTTGAATGCTGTTTGCCCAGAGCCTCAGTTGCACTACACCAGTGAAGGCAGAAGGTGTTAAAACTCATCGTTACTTAACAAGTAATATTTTAGATATACACATTATCAAATCTAGACTTTTTTTTTCTAATCAAAATATTTTATATTATTTATGAAAAATGGCATACATTTCATCATTATTTTAAAGTGGGAGATATTTTATTATCCTTTTAACCACTCAGGACTGTAACTTCTGTTGTGTTTCCCAGTGAATTTATTTGTCTAGATGACAGTATGGCTACTGCCAAAAAAGGGTCAAAAATACAAAAAATTTTAATACCACAGTTAATGTAATTTGTTGAATATGCGTTGTTTGGTACCACAATTTATATTTCCAGCTTAAAGTAAATCACTCACTCTTCCCAATTTACCATCATTTCCTGGGCCAAGGCTCTATGAAATAATGATCATTTTACGTAATTACTTGAAATAAAACATATAGATTATTAATTTCCTTGGTAAGACAGTCTCATTTGTGATGAACAACAGACTGTCTATACATTGTCCTTTTTGTACAGGCTCATACTGAAAACCCTGTTCCCTGACATTGTGTTAATAGAGGGAAAAAAAAAGGAAATAAATGTGCTATTCTCTCTCTTTTTTTTTTTTTCTCCCCCTCTCCTTTCTTTCTCCTAGGATGGAGGTTGTTATGGAGATCTATTTTGTAAAGCGCTGAAAACATACAATATGCTTTGCTTTGGAATTTATCGATTAAGGGATGCACATCTAAGTACTCCCAGCCAATGCACTAAACGGTAGGTCCAGTCTTTTGGAACATCTCTGCATCACTGGTCTGTCTTCTTGGCGAGAAAGATCCCAGTTCCTGTAATAAATCTGACAAAGAGCTTTCTACCTTTTTTACCTAACTTTGCTGCAAAAGCTGACTCTTTGAGGACTTCATGAGAACTCTTTAGCTGAGTTGAAATCCTAGGCTGGATATTATTGCATAAGTTTTCAGCTAATTTTAATCAAAAATTTTTAAAGTAAACTTTCAGAACATATCTTTATCTTGTTTGATTTATGGTGATCCACTGCTTGCACACAAGGAAAGGACTTCAGCTTGCTTGTCTCAATCAGCTGTAAGTTACTGGATAATAATTTAGATTATAGTAGCTAGACTTCCTTTTTTCTGAATGCTCAGAAAATGTTGCTGTGGCCTTCCCATTGGTACTGTCTGTATCTGATCATCATTTCTTACAGTACATGCAACTACTACTTCTCTTAGTAGGCTGCATTTTTACTTCACTAGCACGAAGGCTGACCTCAGTGCTTTAAATAGAGCCGACGCATTTCCATCTTTGCAAACTGAAGGCCATTTAGCAGCTTACTTGAAATGTGTCCTAATTAAGTGCCTGCTAGAAATACACACACAGACCCACACCAGGACTATCACAAATCTACCACCTGCTGCTGCTTCATTCTCTACAAAAAGCGTCATTGTTGTGTGAACATATCAATAAACAATGCTGCAGCCCACCAAAGCAGTTTCTTCTTTAAAGGATTTGGAAAAATTGGGTAGAAAAAATGATTTTCGGCTTAGGTTTACACCATACTCCCTATACTTGGGATTATTTGTTGGATTAATAAGTGATGTCTGTCCCTGAGGCAGCTAAGCCCGATTCCTTATAAGCCTTGAACTAATTTGAAAGAAGTTGTGAGCTTCGTGATAAATTTTTACTCCTTTCTTACTTGGGCAGAAAATGCTTGTTGCCTTGCTCAAATATGTTTTTCATATGCATGAAAAAATTTAGCAGCAGGGTCTGTAAGCCCTTCCTACCCTGAAAGGTGGTTAGTTGAAGGTGGGGATTCTTGAAATCGATAGAGTTTTTATTTCAGGCTTGGGATGTATACTTAGCAATGCTGGATTCTTGGATATGCAGTTTTCTCTTTAGAAATGCTTTCACAGAATCACAGAATGGTCGGGGTTGGAAGGGACCTCAGTGGGTCACCCAGTCCAACCCCCCTGCCGAAGCAGGGTCACTCAGAGCAGGCTGCAGAGGACCTTGTCCAGGCGGGTCTTGAATATCTCCAGAGAAGGAGACTCCATCACCTCCCTGGGCAGCCTGGGCCAGGGCTCCGTCACCCTCAGAGGGAAGAAGTTCTTCCTCACGTTCAGACGGAACTTCCTCTGCTTGAGTTTGTACCCATTGCCCTTTGTCCTGTCTCTGGACACCACTGAAAAGAGTCTGGCCCCATCCTCCTGACATCCACCCTTGAGGTATTTATAAGCATTTGTTATGTTCATGGCCTTTCTGAGGCCATGAATGTATATGTGGAATGAATGAACAGAATTAACCTCATTTCAAATTTGCTGATATATTTTCATTAACTTGTTTTATGTACAGTCACAATCCAAACAAATAATTATATCCCTTGCTCCATTGACGGTATTTAAATATTTAATAAATGTATAGTAAATGTGTATTTAGATATAACTGCACCTAAAATTCTCCTCTCCCTGCTTTTCAGCAATTCTTTTAAATACTGTTGCTGGTGGGTATGTTACTGGTTTTTGTTGATGTGTAAATCTGTTTGCTTTTGCATTACGGTGCAGCTAGAGAAAGGAAGGTGATTTGTACGGTGTCCTCTCTGAAAAATCATGATGTGGTTCACTTGAAGAACATCCTACTCAGACAATACGTCTGTGCAACAGAAAACACACGAAAAGTGATATCTGACATAAGAAGGTCCTAAATCATAACGGGTATTATGTAAGCTAAAATTAGGTACACGCTGAAGGAAACAGAAATGCAAAAATCTGGGTAAATGTTCATAGAAAACAACTCTAGAAGAAGTTTTTTAGTACAAATCTAAACCTGCTTTCTCTCTCTTTCTTTCTTTCTTTCTCTCTTTCTTTTCAGTTATGTTATCACAAACCCACCATATGAATTTGAGCTTGTGCCGACAGACTTGATCTTCTGTTTGATGCAATTTGACCACAACGCTGGCCAGTCCCGGGCCAGTCTTTCTCATTCCTCCCATTCCTCCTATTCTTCCAGCAAAAAGAGCTCATCTGTTCACTCCATCCCATCAACAGCAAACCGACCGAACCGCACCAAGACCAGGGATTCCCGGGAAAAACAGAAGTACGTGCAGGAAGATAGACTTTGATATGTGTACCTGCTCCCACTGTGTGTGAAACTTGCCTTCACCACCCATTCTTTCTCCCCAGTTAATGTTTCCAGCAGTAATGTTCCCTGTTTTCCCATGGAGTTCTCCCTTTTTGTACACATATTTTGCATATGTATGACAGTGTGCATGTGATTGTCATTTTTATTTCACCACCATAAAACCCTTAAGCACAACAGCAACAAAGCAGACGGACCAAAAGTTATTTATGATGCTAGGGGAGAAAAAAATTCTAAACCCATAGGCACACTGAAAACATAAATAACTCACTGCAGTTACTCTACATAACAGAAAATAGAGTATATTTAACATGAACACTTGCTCTTGATGTCAGAGTTACACAAAGAAAGTCATTTAGTGCAGAAGTGTTGATATATGTTGCAGTAGATTTTTTTATATTCATATTTACAGGAGTTGCTACATTTATTTGAAGCTTATAAAACTAACCCATTGAAAAAAAAAACAAAACAAAAAACCAAAAAATATTCCTACTGATTTTTCACTCTCAAAGCTTATGTTGTATAGAGCTCACACTCTTTGTATAGATTATTGCTACGCACCTGCTTTATACCAAAGCAACATCAGGGACTTTTCTGCTTGTTTAAGGACTTTCTCTAAAATACTAGTCTTTTGGAGATAGTGTCTTTTCCCTTTAACACTGAAATTTGTCTGGGCATGGAGTTGTAAAACTCCAATGGTTTAAGTTTAGAAAGAGTCTAATTGCATATTAAATTATTATTCTGTCTATTTATACTGCCACATGAATAGGTATATTTTCTTTCACTTTTGACCTTTGGGATAAAAAGCCATATGTATCATAAATATTGGATGTAAGTCATTAAAAACTGCCTTCCTGGGACTTTTACGTCTTTAAAAGGTGAATTAGTCACCTTATGTACAGAATAAATAATGTTCAGAAAAGAGCAAGCATTTTTCTATACTTAAGTATCAGATCTCGAGGGGCTTTGTTCCTTTCCCCAGATGGTCGTTTAACTTTTCCAAGTGAGAGTGGTGGTATAAATCTTCCAACAGGAGTCCTGATGTGTGAAGATCCTTCTGAATTTCTGCTCCATGTTCTAGCTGGTTCTTTTCAACTGGTGCATGCCAGTACGCAGGAATACAGGAGAAGACAACTGAGTGCCTTTAAGGTCCCTCCCATTTGGGAAGAAAAGGTGCTGTGCTCAAGAGAGCTGATGAGCAGAACGAGAGGGATGGGGTGGGAATACTCACTGTGCTGGGGCATCGTGTTCCAGGCGCTTGCCAGAGTTTGGTTCTTGCAGGTTCTCACCAATGACACACCTAGCCAAACAAAAATTGTGGCAGGGAATTAAAGAAAGTAGTGGAAAGGAGCCTATCCTAAACGGCCATAAAAAAGGACATTTCAAGCTTGCTTTTTTAATTTCATATGCCAACCTTTTGAAATCTAGAACTAGTTCTAGGTGGTGCGAGGAGTTTCCCAGAGCAGGGAGGCCAGAAACACACACCACCTTCCGTGGTTACCCAGCAAGAAAGCATGCAGACAGAAAAATCGATGTTTGGATGTGGGCGTGATTAGCATCGTAACTGCCAACCCAGACAAGGTGCTTTTATGGTTAGTGTTGTTTTCTACCTTCCCCTTCCCCAAGCATGACAATTTTGAAGATTTGCTTGCTGTGTGAATTGACAATGAAGCCAAGCACTTTTACTGACAAAACCTGGAACCGTGTTAAGTGGGCTACAGAGCTGTGCAGCGTTAAGCGTAACGATTGGAATACGGTATATATATCTGTGTGTGTGCATTCAAATGCAGCTGTAAGTCCTATCAGTAAAATACATTGCAAATTACGGATGCTCCCCTACAAACGAGTCTATTACAGTTGCTCTTCCATCATAAAGACAAATTTGTGTGGTTCTTTTTGCAAAGAAAGTTGCCATGTTTTACCCTAAGAATATTTATTACTGCAAGGATGTGCCAGTTAAAGTGCTCAACAGGAAAAATGACAGTTTAAAAGCATTGTAAAACTTACATAGCTTACTTCTTTTTCTAAAGTGCAACAAGGATGAATAGAATGGGCCAAGGTATGACAATTAATGGTTCTGCATGACCTAGCAACTGCTGTGGGTTTCCTTCTATAACTTTGTCCTTGTGAAAACTTGTGAAATTAAAAAAAAAAAATAGTTACAAACTTTATTCAGTTATTGGTTTGTTTGTTTGGTTGGTTGTTTTGTTGGTTTTTCTTTTGCCTTTTTTTTCCCTCCAAACCAGAAGGAAAACTGGCTGCTGCTGCTGCTGCTGC